GAAAGGCAAGCAAGTGACGAGAGTCGTGGTGGCTGTTAGGCTATGAGTTATATATCCTGTGAGAGTCTACTCCAGAGATGGCCTTCCCTACCCTACCCATCCGTGAAAAATCTAACCTCTCCCCACCAGTTCAGCTCCAACCCTGCCCTAGCCCTTTCCAATCCCCAGTTGGGATTAATCCCTGCTTCCACACAACCTCCACTGCATGGTTTGCATTTCAATTTCAGCACTTGTCTCTGTAGCAGAGCTACTAATATTAAGGCTCTCATCCCAAATCGATGAGTGTTTGGAGTATGGACCATGTCATGACTATCTCTGTCACTCCCATGTCACCAAGCACAGTGTTTTGCAAATAGTGAGCATTTGATAAATGTGTGTTGAATTAAACACATCACTCACCACTTAGCCAAAGATTCTAGGGGAAATCTCAAATTCCCTTGCAATTCAACTATCTGGTAAAGGGAACTACATTAAATCTACCAGAAGGGGAAATAATAAACCAAAAATTAGTAATAGTAATAAAAATAACACACAAAGTGCCACGGTGCCAATCAATATAAAGGCTTCAAAAACGGATGTTCAATGTTTACCTACTTTCCTTTCAAGTAAAAAATCCTTATGAATCAACATCTTTGCAGCCATCAGCTATTGATTCTTTGTTAGAGAGCACTGCAAGTTCCTAGGTATCAGTGTGGATAAGTAGGCTCAATAATGAAAAGATTAACAGTCTCGACTCGAAAGAGAGAGGAAATGGAAAGTTAAAATGGAATGTAAAACTCTAGGTGGTAATAGAAACCCCAAGAAGGGATGGTCAAGAGAGAAGAGGGAAAACACAGGTTAAGTCACAAATTCACAGAAATAAGACTTCTAAGGAAGTCAGTGCAGACCAAAGATCCATAAACTCTGAACTCCTGTGAAGGAATCACCTGACCCTTTGGCAGGCATGCTGGCATCTTCCCATTAGTAAGAAAAGCAGTAAAGGGTTAAAAGCTATACATTTGAGGTATAGATCAATAAGGAATTTGAGAGATTAAAGCGCATATGGAGAAAGCAGGAAGTGGGCACTTCAGGATAAACGTGGCTGATTGAACATATGTGTTTATCTTCATTCCCTCCTGAAGTCCCTCTAAAATAAAAGTTATAAAAAAAGGGGGGGGGCAGAAAACCTCAAAGAAAGAGGAAATGAAAAGCAGATGGACAAGTGGTAACTGATCTACAGTAAGAAAGCTAAAGCCCAAGTGCCTGCAGATGAAACTGAATGGGAAGCAAGCAAGCTATCTCCACCAAAGAACCCAAGGATGGCTTGGGAATTGGAGGCATCAGTCTAAAGGCAAGAGCAAGGAATAGGGCTGGAAAACAAAAACCAGAACAAAACAAGATTTGTTTGAAAGAACTCTCAGGAGAGTGGTTTATGTCACCCCATAGAGCCAGGTGGAGGGTAGGTCCTGTTAATCACTAGAGAAAAGAATCCAGAGTAGACTGGAGCTGGGACAAGAGGCCCAGCAGTCGGAAAGTGTAACGTGCTACACTCAAAACAGGAGCATGAAGTGAAATGTGAAACCGTCGGTTATTCCCTACTCAGCACTCACAAGGGTAGGCTTTTATTCTTCAAACAGATTGGAGGATTCTTCTGACGCGAAAATTAGTAAAAACATTTTCAGACCAAGGGAAAAAAAAAAAAGCAAATTAGTAAACAAAAAACAACAACAAAACCCTAGAGATAATTATATCTGGGCATTCCCCAACAAAAGGGTCTGCTTCCCACCTGATCTCCCTACAGTGACACCCACCATCAGCCCATGTAAGCAGAGACTTCAGTCACTCTTTAATATTAACAGAGAAGCAATGCTCAACAACCATCAGAAGAAACCTGAAAAACAGACACCAACACAATCAAAAGAACAGAAAGAATTTAGAGAAAATAGGAATAATGCAGAGGAAAGGAAACACTATAAATATTCTCAGAGAGGTAAAAGAAGACAATGTTAAGACAGAGAACAAGAAAGAGCTCTTAGAAATTAAAATAATAGTTGAAATTAAAAATTGGATAAAAGGATTGGAAGTTAAAGTTGAAGAAAACTCTCAGAATGCAAAACAAAGAGAAAAAGATCAGAAGAGAATTCACGCAGGATATTCAACATCAATTAATAGGAGTTCCAGAAAGAATGAGAAGAGAAAACGGAGGGAAGGAAATTACCAAAGATATAAAATGGAGGAAAATTTCTGCAAACTAAAAAACAGAGATTTCCACAATGTAAGGGTCTCCCAAGGTGCTAAATATATTCTCTATCTTAAGCTGAGTGGTGGTCACATGTGTATATGGTCATACGGGTATATATATTTATAAAATGTATTTGAAGTGTTCACTCAAGGTTAGTGCAGTATACATACTTTTTACTACATATATTTTAAAATGCAATATAAAAAAAGAAATGGAGAATGTTGGGCTCATGCTGACAATGAACTCTTAGATACTCTTAGATATGACACTAAAAGCACACACAACAAAAAAACAAATAAATTGGACTTCATAAAATTAAAAACTTCTGTGCATCAAAGGACTTTATAAGCAAAGTGAAGAGATAACCTACAAAATTGGGAGAAAATATTTGGGAACTATACATCTGACAGGGGTTCAATATTCAGACTATATAAAGAATTTCTACAACTCAACAACAAAAAGACAAACAACCCAATTTAAAAACAGGAGAAAGACTTGAATAGACATTTCACCAAAGAAGATATACAAGTAGCTCAATTTTCCATTAGTCATTAGGGAAATGCAAATCAAACCCACGATGAGATACTACTTCACCCCTACTAGGATGGATATTATCAGAAAAATGGAAAATAATAAGTCACTGGCAAGGATGTGGAGAAATGGGAACCCTCATTCATTACTGGTGAGATTGTAAAATTGGTGCAGTCCCTATGGAAAACGGTATGGCAGTTGATCAAAAAAGTAACAGAACCACCACAAGATCCAGCAATACCACTCCTAGTTATATACCCAAAAGAAATGAAAGCAAGTACTTAAACAGATACTTGTACACCAATGTTCACTGCAATATTATTGACAATAGCCAAAAGGTGAAAACAACCCAAGTGTCCATCAACAGATGAATGGATAAGTAAAATGTGGCATATCCATACAATAGAATATTACTCAGCCATAAAGAAAAATGAAGTTCTGATAATATGCTATGACATGGGTCCCAGACAGAAATGGAGAAAAACTTAGAACAAAATTCTAACTCACAAAAAAAGACCAGACTTACTGGCCTGACAGAGACTGGAGAAACCCCGAAATGGCCCCCAGGCACCCTTTTAACTCAGTAATGAAGACACTCCTGAGGTTCACCCTTCAGCCAAAGATTAGACAGGTCCATAAAACAAAAAGAGACTAAATGGGCACACCAGCCCAGGGGCAAGGACGAGAAGGCAGCAGGGGACGGGAAAGCTCGGAATAGGGAACCCAAGGTCGAAAAGGGGAGAGTGTTGATATGTCCTGGGATTGGCAACCAATGTCACAAAACAATATGTGTACTAATTGTTTAATGAGAAGCTAGTTTGTTCTGTAAACTTTCATCTAAAGTACAAAAAAAATAAAATTAAAAAAAAATGCTACAACATGGATGAACCTTGAAAACATCATGCTAAGTGAAATAAGTTAGATACAAAAGGACAAACATTGTATGATTCCACTTATATGAAATATCTAGAATAAGCATATGCATAGAGACAAAAGTTTATTCATGGTTACTGAGGTGAGGCAGAGTGGTAAATGAAGAGGTATTGCTTAAGGGGTACTGAGTTTCTGTCAAAAGTGATGAAAAAATTTGGAAATGGATAGTGGTGATGATTGCACATGATGAACGCAATTCATGTCACTGAATCACACACATAAAAATGGTTAAAATGACAAATGTTCTGTTATTTATACTTCACCACAATAAAAATGAAGGAATAAAAAATAAAGGAGCTTGAGGCAGAAAAGAGACATACCAATTTTTCTTTATGTTCTCAGTGTAAAACAAGAAAATGGCAACAATAATTGTCTCTGGAGGGGGGTCAGGGCTAAGAGGAAAACTAACTTTTCATTGTATACTGTTTTGATCTATTTAAGTGTTTACCGTGTGCATGTATTTTTTTTAAAGGTCAGTTAAAACTAATTTAAAATAAAATAATGAAGTTAATGGAAAAGAAAACATTAATAAAAATACAGTCGAACTTGGGAGGCAGGGGAAGTAATTCAGAGCAATATGAAGGGAAGTGGGGGGGACACTGCCCACTGAATTTTATCATACCGGTACAATATTAGGGTTATTACCAAATTGCAAGTGTGGCTTTTCATGGCCAAACTCATAAAAATGTTGAGCCAGAAAGCACTACAGAAATCATGTAATTCAATTCCTTCTTGAGAAAACTCAAGTCCAGGAATGTCAACTGAATAAATGTCCAAAAGAAACCCTGAAAACCAAACCCATTGCCGTTGAGTTGATTCCGACTCATAGCGACCCTACAGGACAGAGTAGAGCTGCCCTGCAGGGTTTCCAAGGAGCGGCTGGTAGATTGGAACTGTCAACCTTTTGGTTAGCAGCCAAATGCTTAACCACTGCGGTGGCCCACAATTAGTGGCATTACCAAACTAGAATCTAGGTCCCTTCCATTCTACTAACTACCTGTTAGACCACACCAGATTGCATCTTTCAGAAGAGTCTGCGCAATAAACAGAAAATCAAAATCACACAGAAAATCAAAATTGCAAGATCAAACTACCAGTCACTGAAATTTCAAAAGATTTTTATTGCTGTTAGGGCAGAGACAAAAACAAACTGCAAATAATTCTTGCAAGTACCCCTAAGGTCACTAGGATATCAGTACTAAACCCCATGATTGTAATCCTTAAATGTAACAGTATTTTCCATTTTACCAGAAACCTCATGATTTGCGATTTGTTTCCAGAAATCATGCCAGAGGAACTCTGAAAGCTCACTTACCCAGAAAGCACTGCATGCTGCCCAAGACAGTCCACAGACATCGCCGTTGCCTGTTATAAAGAACACAGATTCAGTGCTGCAAGCAAACCGAGCCCAAGTTTGAGGAGAAAGGAAGTCGCTTTCCCCTTCCCATCTCCCAGGTAGTCCCTGACTAGCAATTATCATTAATTAGTCTCCTACTAATTAATGGATACTTTCAATTAGTGGATATGTTTACCCTCTTCTAGTTCCCATCTAAATCTCACATACACCTGTCACAATAGGGCAGGTGTTACCTGTTACCCCCCAGACCAGCACTACACACAACCAAGCTACTGCATTCTAAACTGAGGAGGCAGAGATCCCGGAGCCCTTGGGGAATCTGACTAGCTCGGAGCAAACAGCAGTTACTATGCACAAGTAGCCTCTTCCAAGCAAAACTTAGCCTGGGACCTCCTCCCCCCGCACACACAGACATATATACATACACAATACATTCATCCATGCCTTTCCAAAGGGCACAGATTTCCTCTCCAAGCCATATGGCAGCTGGTAATATTCAAATGCCAGCCCCATTTCATCCAAGATCATATTCTTATCATTGAGACGCCCAGTTCACATTCAATCCGAAATTCTAGCACATTTTACTGGTTCCCATTTCCCAGGTCCCCCAAGTCCTAGGAAGCACCATCTCTACAGGATCCAGTGTCCAATTCCCAAAAGACTGCACTGAGTCAAATAAATTGGCATCCAGGAGAAAACATGAGGCTGATTTTAATCATGGCAGCAGACAGCCCTAAATTCTCTTATTTGGACAAGTTCAAATCCTGCTGTATCCTCATGGCATTACCATGAAGCAGTTTGGTTATTAAATGCTCTAAGTCCTTTCCAAGAG